TTGAATTTGAACTCATTAATAGACTCATAAAAGAGGTGAAAATTAAGAGTGGGATGAGAGAGCCTATATCTGAATTCTTGAAGAAATAAAGTGCACACCTTTTGAAGCAAACAAGTGGTGTTTGATCAGGCATCCAATCAAAGAGAAAAGTTGTCAAGATACAGGAAGACCGAGAATTACAGCACATAGAGTTTAATGGGGACAAATAGTACTGACCTAAATAAAAGCCAGCTCAACCTTCTCAAAACTATGAAGGATTTCACCGAAACAGATTGAATAAAGGCCACAGTTAAAAAAAACCAAAAACAAAAACAAAAAAACCAAAAAAACTATGAAGGACTCAGCTTCAATTTTATATGCCTACGGAAAGTAAAAGATGCTGAAAAATCAAAGTACATGATAAGAAATATACACATCTATTAGGATATCCTGATTATCTCACTAATTAAAATGTATTCTACAGCCAACAATGGTCTCATTTTTTAAAATAAATGTTGAAAATCTCAACATGGAGCATAATTTGACTTGAGTAAATGTTTTAAAAAATCACAAACTCCTATAGTGATCAGAAGGGCATTGCTAAAACACTTGGTTAAGACTGCATACTTGGAAGTTAGACACTAAACCCACTTATGTGCAAGTTTTAGGCGCTATGTAGTAACATTATATGTTGATACAGAATACACAAATCAGAGGGAATAGTTTAATATATACAGTGGAAATACCCTTTTCTCAATTATTTAGGCCATCCAGATTTCCTTAACTCTCTACATATTCCTAATACTAGTAGCAGAGAGAATAAATTAAGCTAGATTTCCCACACAAAGCATTCAAAACTCTACGGGCAGGCGAATCTTGTGGCAGTTTTATTTTTGACTTTCACCAAAATAAGGTTAAGTTACCCAGTGAAAAAAATCCTGCTGGGTGAATTTATTTTTCTACAAACCTATGACGCTTAAAGTAGCCTTCATCCGACAATTTAAAGTCTATTTACAAATATCATTGCACAGTGGCATTAATCTCTGCTCTCTTAAGTGGCTGGACTGTGTGTGATGGCCATTACTATATTATTTAATTTGACAGTTCCCATCATAAATCACTACAAAACACCAGAACTTACAGATGTTTTAAATTTAGACCCTACCCCCATATATATTTACTTCCATGCAGGATGAAATAGAAGGTAGGTTCATATTACTAAAGTTAACATATAGCTACTGATTTTGTCAGCACATTTGAAGGAAATGTTGGAAGCTGTCATGCAATTATGTCACATTCAACTTGGAAAGAAGGTCTATGTATAATTCTTTGTAAGACTAAACTTAAGTTTGGGGTTATATTCACACATGCTATTGTGAAATGATAAAATGAGGGACTCCAGTAAAGTAACATTAAACCGAGCACTAGTAAATCCAGTGTGACCCAAGGAGACCCTAAGACAGGGTACAATGATCCACAAGGTTTTCTAGGCTAAAATATTATGGAAAGCAACTGCCATGTTTTTTACCTGCAAAGTAGGTGGTAATTTTGAACCACTTATATTTCGGTCCAATGCTTGATAACATTATTACTGTTGGTGATGTTGAATGTGGCCCAACTCATAGCCAAGCCTCTACAGGTTTTCAGAGGCTGTAAATTCCATAGGAGATGGTTCATCTTTCTCTTGTGAAGCTGGTGGATTCAAAGTGCCTGCCTTTTGATCAGCAGTTCAACTCCTTGCCACTAGGCCATGAGAGCTAACTGTGACTTAAATCAGTAGCTCATTTACACAGGGATATACATTCAATGAAATATGTATTGGGCTGATATCTTAATTTCTCATGGAACTCATCTAGTTGAAATTCTATATTTAATTAGAAATTCCATCCACATGCAGATTGAATAATGAAGATGTTGGGTTATTCAAGATGCATTTTGTTAATTAATACATTGCAAAAACGCCCCTATACCTGTAAATTGTCATATAATCTCAATAACAAATTTGGTTAGGAAGATGTGGTTTATTTGGTAGTTTGTGGGAAGGATCTGAAATAAGAGGTAGGTGAAACTGACAGATACGAGAAACAAAAAAGCAATTACCTCAGAAAACTATATTAGAGATAGCATTTTAAAAGGACCACAGGGTCAAAGATTCCACAATAGGAAGTTATTCTATGCTATTTGCCAAATTTGTAGTATAATTGCGATTGTAGTAAACTTGCGATTGGTTCTCCTGAACCAGCAAATTTAATTACAACACCATGAACAAAGGTAAACAATTTAAAGTAAGTTGGAAAATGGTGAAAGAGGACCATGACTAAAAACTATACAGGAAATATAGATGACCAGTTTCCTGAATGAAAACATCATTGCAAACATTTATTTCCTCACTTTGTAAGAAAGAGCATTCTAAAAGCAGTGTAGTCAGCATACAATCCTAATGATGCAGGACACTGTATAAGCATAAATTTGTTTCCTAAACCACAGGACAGGGAGTGGGATAATAAACCATTACTTTTATCAAACAGATAACAACGAAGTTTAAATCCTGTGTGGTTTTCACAGTGGGATTATCACTTAAAGCTGTCTATTAATGAAGTTAACTCTGTTAATGGAATGAAATATGTTAGTTGACTTTTACACACACACATAATTCACACACACACTAAAACATAATAGGCTTCACAAATCCCAGTATTCCCATAAATCCACAGTGGTATTTAAAAAAAAAAAAGGTTCATAAATCCAATTGTAGCAAATACAACAGATTATTTTAAAGGAAATGTTCTCCTTAACATTAGTTATAAAATTCCTGTCAATTCTTTCAGTTTACTATGTCTTAGGGTGGCAATTCAAAACACATTCAAAATTTGCAGGCATTCAGTGAGTGTTTTTAAAATGGAAAAATGGAAAGATGGGAGAGCATGGATAAAGGGCCTTATACTTTATCCATTAAATCTTTTAATAAAATAATTTCTAGTCATAGCTAAGGCCTAAAATCTAAAACATAGTATCACAAGGATTTATTCCTGATAATCTAATACTAGTAAATATCTTATTGAAGCAGCTGAAGTTATAAACAATCACTTATTTATATACTTATACGTATAATAAACCTTAGGCTCACAAAAATATACATGTTTAAAACGGAAATCTAAGGCACACAAAATACTAAAACAATTCAATGAATTACTCTATTGTACATATTGAAGAAGCAGAATTCTACGTGTACAAGATGATGGCCAATCAATTGACATTTTGTTATTTACAATCCCTTCATCTTCCTTTTCTTGGATTAATCAAAGCTTGAAATGTATACTTTGCACCATATATTATTTTCATATAACTTATAAGGTTTTTTTCTTTTAGAGAACTTGCTGGATCTGTTTTACTTTTGCACCAAAATTATGAGTGTTAGCGGTTGTGGACTTCCTATGGCATTCCCTAGGGAGAAGCACCTAGGTTTTCCATACTCCCTAGGAATCGGACACTTTTAATATGGATAGCACCTCTGCATTTTAACAGACTCAAGTATTTAAAGGAAAGTTCTTGTTCAAGATACTACCTGGGCAATCTTTTCAGTCTTTCTGTAAATTGATTTTTAAAAAATACTAGTCTAAAATTATATGCTAAGGTGAATGACTTTGGATTAATTCTTCATGGATGATATGATTTTGAAATCCATTCTACTGCTAAGTTGCCTTCAAAAAATTTTGACAAAAACTTCTGTCTTATTCTATCCTAGAGTAACATTCATAGCAAATAAGGAAATATTCTTGTTGGAGAGGTTTTAGCCAACTTGTTTTTGTATTTTATTTCCTTGACACACTAGAAAGGTTTGCCTCTTCAGAATCCTATGCTGTCCAGTGTCCTTTTGGAAATAGCTCTTAGGGATTTTACTGAGAATATTAGAAGGAAGGTAAACTGGACCACTGTTGCCCATTTAATCAGAAGAAACTCTTGATTAGTTTCAAAGAAAATGTTAAACACAATATTGGTAATGTATTCTATTGTCAGTATTAGGGAAATCACCAATTTTTGTGGGTTTATCTAAGTCCTAATATAGGAGGAATACCCTCAATGAGATGGATTGACACATGGCTCAAGCATGTTGGAGAACCTGAGGATGTCACAGGAGAGGGGAAGGTTCTGATCTGTTGTTCATGGAATCACTATGAATCAGCATGTAACAACAATGACAACAGCAAAATGTGAATGAGAAATGACACATTAAAAAACAAACAACAACAACAAAAAAACCACAAACAACAAGAACCAGACATAGACAATTTGAAAACATACTGCAAGATGGTACCCTACACAGTAAGAATAAATGATTTATCTTGTATGCAAATACGCATGGACAATAGACAATAGGGTTCTTATACTATTCTATTTCAAGTTACTTTAAAAATAGAAAGTGCTTTTAAATATATATTTACAATGTATGAACAGCCTCCAACCATTAGTAATAATAATGAATAATATTGTTCAAGAGATCTAGCTTAAGAGAAAACGTTTCATTGGTGTATTGAAAGGGATTTGCTGATAGTCAAACAATGATTGGAAGATGTTAGCACAATGGCACCAAGAAAGAATATTTCAGCTTATTTTCAACTGTGGTTTTAAATGTGAGTAAGCACCAGGAGCTGTGTAGAGTTAACACTGTATATCTTGATTTTACATCATAAAACATAAACCTGTTAAGATCCTCCAAAAATTACTCATTTCATAGTAAACAGACTTAATGGAAAGCACCAAACTGAGTGATTCTATCGAGGTTAACACCTAGCCAAAACATCTCTTTATGTACTTAAAATTAGAAAATTTTTTTTTGCTTAAAATGTGTACTTTCTACCAATTGTGTAAATATAATCACAGTTTAAGAAATCCCCACCCCATTTTTTTTTAAAAACCTCAGCTTTCAAATGGGTGAGATGACGCCAACCTAGCACTCTTTTAACAGCACCTTGAAAAAACACACTGCACCAGCAAAGGCATTGAAAAGGGGAAAATAGCTTTCAGACCCAACGGTTATAGGGTCCTGCAACATGTGTGACAGCGTAAGAGGAAACTGTGACAACATTATCATGGGTTAATGTTAATGCCTTACGAGAGGGAATTTGGTGTGATGCATTGTCTTCAGGGGGTAGTTCAGGGCCTTCCTTAGCTGCCTCATCTTTATGCGCCAAAGCCTCCTTCATAGATCCTTCAGCCTCCCTTTTACTCTTGTGGAACATGAAACCATGATGTCGCCGAGTCAAGCTTTTGTGCTGGTAGAAGACAAGGGACAGGCGGGTCGGATGATTCCGGTTTGGATTGGCGACTGATGTTGTAGCATGAGTCTCTAGGCGGGCACACTCAATCAAAATAGAGCCGTGACCGGGTGCTATTGCCAATCCACCTATATTTCCATCTAAGAAAATAGGCTCATTGTCTACCAAAACCTCTACGAAATGGGGCTTTGCTTTTGCAGTTGACGGAGACTTATCTGCTTCAGAATGCTGCTCATGTTCTGTGACACAAGGAGCAAGGTGAGGAGAGGGCATGGGCGGAGGCTGCTGAACCGTGTGCTGCTCGGAAGAGGCCGGCGAACCTGCAGGCAGAGCAAGAAGAGGAGCTAAGTCCTAAAACTGGGCCATCCCATTGCTTTCCCCTGGGCTGCATTATTAGCAGCAGCTGAGGCTGGTACAAGGAATTGTGTGGATTCGAATCCACCAGATGCTCTGCCGGGGAAGGAGGGGCAATCTCCTCCTGTACCAGTCAGATCTGATTTGACGGTACACGCACACAAAAATAATAAAATAAAATTAAAAAAAACAAAAAACAAACAAAAAAAAACAACAAGGAATTGTGTGGTGTGGATTGATACACTTTGTTCAAAACCTATACGAGACTATTGCATCATTCTTAAGTATCACTATTATGACTGAAGTACAAATTTTAAACGGTACTTAAGAATTTTTAAATGTTGCATGATTCTGAAAATCCATATAAAATGAGAGAATTTCTAGAACGTTTATATGAGGACTCAGTTTCTCATGCTAATTTCTCCTGATCTCCAATTAAGCTCTGATGATCCCACATGGTCTCCAAGCAGTAATTACTATCTCTCTGCTGCTGACCTCTAAAATGCTAACAACAGCCTGGCATTTTTCCCTGATTGGAAAATATAAGGCTCCAGGCCTTGATGTTTCTGAACCTGGGTCACCCTGCCCAATTCATATCTCTCCAAATTGGCTCTTCTCTATTCACTACGATTCCTGAAAGAACTGCATCTGTTTTGTTAGGTTAAGGGACCCCTAAAAACCCTTTCTAGCCATTCATTCCCTAATTCGGTTTACATGTAAGCCTGGTGACTCTACCCTCAAAATTAAGACATTTCTTAGTGCCCCATTATAACACTTATCCAACTCCCATCATCTATCATGGATTATAAGAATAGCTTTTGTGCCAAGAAGTTGCACTACAATCCCAGAAGAATAGATTTTGTTTCCTTTTTGTATGTCCTGTATTCTTTATTCTTCTCTTAATACTGTGAATTTTGAAGGTTAAGATAGGAAATTATGACCAAAGAATATTGAATTT